AAGGAGCAACAACGCCAACAACGACAACGATGATGACGACCGCAGCGAAGGTAAGGGATATTTTTTGGTTTGCTTGTCGGGTTTGGAGGCTCGATTTCGTTTTTCTCGGGTTTTGGATTTTGACTATTGTTGGTTTTTTGGATTTCTGGGTTTTGACGGAGGAGAAGAAGGGCAGAACAGCTGGAATAGAAGGAGCTTCGTCGCCCGCGAGTACTTGGTCGGGAAGTTGGGATTAAGGGTGATGCTTCCTATTAAACCCATATTCGACTTCTATGACTTAGTTGTGTTGTTTAGGAGGAAACTTGAATGGTCGTAATGGTTTCCATTTCCAGCAGGGACGGAGCTAGGATTTGAAATTAGGGAGGGCTGGCAAAAAAATTTCCCACGGCACAGTGAAAATACATAACTAATTGACAAAATTTATTCATATATTTATTCAAAGGCAAAATACACTTGCCAAAACTTTCACGTTTGTGGCAATAATAGTCAAATTTGAAGAAATACTACTTATAGCCAGATTTTGTAAAGGTGTTGGACAAATATAGCCATTTTCGTTAGATACTTTAACGGTGTTAATAACACCGTCAACTTCTTTGACGATTTGCTGACTAGGCACCAACTCAGCGCACACGTCAGCGCCAATCCCCCCAAACTCTTCGACAAAGCAACAATCGAAAAACAAATTAAATCACTCCCAAGATTTTCCAAAACAGACAACTTCAATTGGACAAACAACTGGGTTCTGCATATCTTGAGAGAGGGAGAGAGAAAATCCGAGCGGGAATAAAAAGATGGAGGGACGAAGCGAGCCCGAAAGGCGAAACTCTTCCGCAAGCTGATCACGAGTTCACGACCCCTGCTCTTCCCCTGATTTCGTCTCCTGCCAAGCATTCCACGCCCAGATTCTCTACTGCATCTACCCTCGTCGCAACCACCACAGAAAAGATTTACACCGCCAAAGTCCGAGAGACCATCTCCGTTCCCGATGCCATCGCTAGAATCGACGAGTCCCGTGGAGTATCCGACACTGCAGTGAGATTCACCAGCCGCTCCGATAAGCTTAGCATCGGCGTAGAGGTTTAGATTCGTCTACTGGTCCATGAAATCGGCCGTGGCTTGAGTTGCTCGGAGGTCCGGTAAGGGCGTTTGGTTGATTGTGGCCTTGTGGGGCGCAGCGTCGACAAGAGTGCTTTGCGGTAGGGATTGGGGGTACCGGGCACGGGTTGAAGGAGATCAGATGAGAAATTGAGAATGGAAGATAGAGAAGGGGACGCAGATGGAAAGGGGTTTTTCATTAATTTATTGTTTATTTTTTCCCATCCACGTGGAAGGGGTTTTCTTGGTATGTCATCATTCTGAGATTTTTGTTTTTTTTAATTTACTTAAAATTAAAGAATTAAACTTTAATGATTTTCCACCTGGCATTATTATCGAATAAAATATGCCACATCAACTCTTGCTGTTAGTCTAGTCAGACTTTTAGATAACGCTGTTAAAGTATTGGACAGAAATGGCTATATCTGGTAATTCTTCAAAAGTGGCTATTATTGTCACAAACGCGAAAGTTATGGCTATGAAAGTGTATTTTGCCTTATTCAAATAACAACAATTTAAATACAAAAAATAATATACTAATGTATAATTTATGGATTCGATTACAACTTTTATTGCTATCAAAATATCATTACGTGAATAAGAACAGGCAAGTTAATTATAAATTTGATATCAATTTAGCACTACATTCGAAAAGTGTAAGTTAATGAAGAAAATATTTCAATAGATTCTTGGAAAAAATACACAAAATGTGTCCACATATTTATTCAAATAATGATTATGATGACAGTTTAACCATAAAATAAAAAAGAATAGATTACCCGGTATGGGGCAAAGAGAACAACAAAGTTAGCAAGAAGAAGAGGTCTCGTGGTGGAGACTAAAAATCCATCAAGTCTAAGAGTCAACTACATCATTTGATGCATCCAACGCTAGGGACTTGAGACCATGGTCCATGAAACCGTACCGGAGACCATACCGGGAAAGTCAGCGGTAGGGTATTTTATGGTAAAACCGTGGTTTAACCGTAGTTTAACCGTTATACCGGTAAATACCGCCTATCGGTTTAGCCTCCAATACAGATATTTCGTGGTTTAACCGCCGATAGGGTACGGTTTCATGGACACTGCTTGAGACACAACCTCACCGACGAGAACCTCAACTTCAAGGAGGTCTTAAGTTGGACTGAATACTTGAAGGCAGTCTTTCGACGATAAAACATGAATGACGCACTAGTTGGGAGGTACCCCAATAATAAAACTTGCACGTTTGATTTTTCTTTAGGCAGTATTTATAATCAGGATTTTTTCAGAAATAGCACTGTTTAAAAAAAAATTTCAAAAATAGCACCTAAGTCCGAAAAATTCCAAAAATATCACCCTTTCCCAAAAACCGCTCCCTACCAGTGCGGTTTAGGCGAAAACCGCCACCCAGGGGCGCGTTTTTCGATGAAAACCGCACCCCTAGGGTGCGGTTTTGCAGACCGCACCCCCACCATGCGGTTTGGTTGCAGATCGCACCCCCACCATGCGGTCTGCTTTTTTTTTTTTTTTTTTTGAAAATCCTAACCTCGATGGAAACTTCAAACGAACATATCTTTGTGTTCGGGTATCAAATCGTCGCGATTTTTTTTTATTCTGCATAACTTTTTGAAATCTTGCAAGCCGAAGACTGCCGAAGGTGGTTTGATCTCGCCTTCGTCCCAAAAAATGTCGTTTGCTACCCCGAACGAGCTTTTTTCAAATTTCGTCAAACTTTGGACAACCAACACTTTGTGCTCCAAAATCCAAACGACATGAAATTTTTTTTTATTTCGCATAACTTTTTAAGGACTACAATTTTTACTAGAATGAATTTTCAAAACAGGAATTATTTTGGATATACAGGATTTTGGGAATAGCTTACCTTCCCTTCTTAGCAATCCACGTACATTTTGAAATTATGTCTATGATAAAAGTTGTATTCCTTAAAAATTTATGCGAAATAAAAAAAATTCATGTCGTTTGGATTTTGGAGCACAAAGTTATGGTTGTCCAAAGTTTGACGAAATCGGAAATAAGCTCGTGCGGGGTAGCAAACGACATTTTTTGGGACGAAGGCGAGAGCAAACCACCTTTGCCAGTCTTCGGCTTGCAAGATCTCAAAAATTTATGCAGAATCAAAAAAAAATCGCAACGATCTGATACCCGAACACAAAGATATGTTCGTTTGAAGTTTCCACCTAGGTTAGGATTTTCAAAAAAAAAAAAAAAACAGACCGCATGGTGGGGGTGCGATCTGCAACCCAATCGCTTGGTGGGGGTGCGGTTTTCATCGAAAAACGCGCTCCTGGGTGGCGGTTTTCATCGAAAAACGCGCTCCTGGGTGGCGGTTTTCATCGAAAAACGCACTCCTGGGTGGCGGTTTTCATCGAAAAACGCGCTCCTGGGTGGCGGTTTTCGCCTAAACCGCACTGGTAGGGAGCGGTTTTTGGGAAAGGGTGCTATTTTTGGAATTTTTCAGACTTAGGTGCTATTTTTGGAATATTTTTTTTAAACAGTGCTATTTCTGGAAAAATCCCTTTATAATCTAAGATAGTTAATGAATCTCTTTCATTTTAAGGATAACATGAACGATTGTTTGAAGACTACCTAGTTGCTCAAGTCACTTTGGGTTAGGAAATGGCATGGCTAGTTCAATAGGATCACTTTGGGTTAGGAAATGGCATGGCTAGTTCAATAGGATCACTTTGGGTTAATGGATTCCCAACGGCCTGATCTCGTCTCTCACGAGCGTTGACGCGGCTACTACAAGCCTACAACCACTGATTTCACTTAGACACTTTCTTAGATGACGAGGATCCAAATTGCACGGGTTTTGATATGAGGACTTATATTTGAAAATCTGAATTTTTGGTTATAAATATTTAGATATAGTCGTCAAAGTACACCTGTATATCCATAATTACCGATTTTGTGATAATAATAGCCAATTTCTTAAAAATAAAAAAAGTCTAATTTCATCTAAAACTTTAACGAAGTCATTTTAGATGTTAACTATACTATCATTTTCTTGATTTGGTGACACTTAATAAAAAATGTTTATAGGTAAAATTAACTAAATTCACTTGCATAGCCATTAGCCATAACTATCGATTTTGTGACTATAATAACAAATTTTTGAGAAATACACAAAATGACTAGATTTTGGAAACATGTTTGATAAATTTAGCAGCTTCCGTTAAAAAAGTTTAACATCATTAGAGATTTCGTCAGCTACATTAACAAGACGTTGATGAGAATGCCACCTTGATACACACGTGAGCGACAACTCGAGATGCTATACCACGTGAACACCACATAATTTTTTAATGAATTTTTTTTTATAAATCCTATTATTCTTCTAGCTCCACTATCTTGCTTTTTGAGTCCCTGGGCCAGCATGTTGATGTCCGCAACTGCTTGTTTCTCCGACGTTTTGGTAAATACACTTCCCCGTTGTAGTCGTTGCTTGTGACCAATCTTGTCATTTACTCAAATAAAAATTTATGATAATAATCGAAACACGGGGTTGGGTCAGGTTCTACGAGATGCGTAACTCAAAATCGCACCAACTTAAAAGAGGCGGGTTGTACAAAATAAAACCCTCACTCAACGTGAAAACCATAATATTAACGACGAATACATGTGAGTTGGATCAGATTGGACGCGAATAATTAATTAGTTTATCTTTTTGTTCACCACTAGATGGAACGGGAATTGCTAATCGTCGCACTATATCTATTATTATATGGCTCTTGTATGCCCACTTCAATATCGTCGGGTTACAGGCAGCGTTCTCTGTTTATGTGGGTTTTGAGCCAATCTCCCAGGGGACTTCCTCTGTGGGCCGGCTTAAATTCCATTAATCGGCTTTGAACTCCATTACGCCCTTAACACAAACAAACAAAAAAAGGTTCGCGCGCTACACCCGGTCTTCGAGTACAAGTCTCTAGAAGCAGCGTGGACCAGTTACAGCGGTATTAGCGTGGACTTGGACGTCGCCATCTGGAACCGTCGGAGAAGCTGCGAAATCAGTCCTAGACCGAGAGGACGACGGAGCTTCAGCCATGGGGAGCTTATTTTGATCAAGCTCCCAATGGCGGATGGCAGGCTGCGGTGCCAGCGAATTTGCTGCGACGCCACCTTCACCGAAGAGGACAATCCTGAAGGCTCGTGTCAGTATCATGTTTCGGTAAGGCGCCCGTTCTGACTTCTCCTTGGCTTGAATTGAAAACATTCCTCGCATTCGTCTAGATACTGCTTTGAACTTAGAATTGTTTATCATTCCAATTTCCATATCGTTTGTGCGCATTAGGAAGCCTTGGTCCGAGACTTTGACATAGCTAATTGGGTTGTGGATGTTCATTCAATTCTAATGCTTCGGGTTTAATCCTCCTGTTTTGCTGTTTGGAGTTTGATATGGTTGAAGAACACTTCTCATCCTTGCCAAACTTGATTTGTAAATGTGGATGGCTAGTATCTTGTAATACCAGCCTGAACTAGTTGACTTGTGGATTCAGCCAAGTGGCGTTGCCAATGTTACTATCTCTGAAATAGCTATGTTGGAATCCTGTTTAGCTTCAACAAGTTGTAGTTATTGACAATGATTTTGCTATGACGTCCCTAACGAGTTTTAGTGATTGTCCTTTTTCGTTGCATGGTTCGACTGGGTTTGGATGGGTGCTGGTCTTTGCATCAGGGTGTAAGTCGCTTGGGCTCCAAAAAAAAAATATTCTTCATCTTCAAATCTTATATGCTTTCCATTACTTATTTTGAGTCTATTATCTGATTCTGGATGTCGTTTCGACAGCCCATGTTTCATGATGGAATGAAAGAGTGGAGTTGTTGCAAAAAGAAAAGTCACGATTTCAGCTTATTCATGGGAATTCCAGGGTAAGTTTCAGTGCAGTCTTTCTCTCTATTAGCAATTTGTTGAGCAAAGATCTTAGTACTGAACTTGTGAGATTATAAGAGGTTCAGTAGCTCCTAGTCCTAGGCTGTCTTGCTGAAATACAGTTTGCTTCGGTTAATCCTAAAAACAAGGAATTGGGATCATCACTGCTAACTCCTTTATTGATTGATTGACCTGAATTGATAATCTCTGTAACAGAAATCATTTTACACATCTTATATTCTGATTGTATGAAGTGCTAATAATTGCTCTTGTGTAGATGTAAGACAGGTAAACACACTACCGAGAAGCCAGTGGTGGCAAAGGTGAATCCATCCCCAAAGGCTCCTCTCTCTAAACCCTCTGTGCCTTCTACGACAAGTGCACCCTCCAGAGAACTTTGTCCAAGGTGCAAGCAGGGTTTCTTTTGCTCTGATCATGGTATTTTTCTTTCTCTTCTTTCATCCATTATACTTAAACTACATACTGTCCGGGAGGCATGTGTGATTGGTGAGATAAATTATATGATAGAATTGCCCGTAATTAGAGCGTTAGCAAGATTCCTGCATTCATCTTTCTTTATGAAAAGACGATATATACATATGTCTAGGCGGTAATGTAATATTGATAATATCTCTCAACAATCGACATGAAGAGAAAGACAGCATGAACATAATCCATCTGAAGCTTTTATCGCTATTTGGTAGGATACTCTAGCTAATTGACACACAGCATTCAACTGCAACACTTAACTTATAACGTACCACATTCTCCTGTTGTATCTCTCTGTCAAGTGTTCTGTCTTAATGGTGGATGACAAGTTACTAAAGGCAGGATCATATATGAAACTACACCTGGGTTTTCCCAGTGTGTAGGGCAATTATTTGATTTGTTGTAGAAAGTTGTCGGAAGCAGAATTGGTAGTTCATTGGTGCTTTTGGTTTGTTTTTGTCATTGCATTTGTTGTCTCTAATTACCGAATCATGCATTTTTTTCTACTTAGGTGCACAACCGAAAAAAGATGTCGCCCCAGCTAAAAATAACACAGAGATTCAAGCTTCTGCTCCTCCTCGGCCTAAGAAGAAAATTAATATCAATGAGCCCCAAACCTGCAGAAACTCCGGATGTGATCAAACGTTCAAGGAAATAAACAACCATGATACTGCGTGCACCTATCATCCAGGGCCTCCTGTTTTTCATGACAGGATCAAAGGGGTGCGCATTTACCGTATGTTTTTAAGAAGTTCTTTTTGGCTGTCTACCACTAACTTTCTCCCCTGCTAAAATCCCCATCATCTGCATTTCATTTTGGCAGTGGAAGTGTTGTGACATCCACGTAAAGGAGTTCGATGAGTTCGTGAGCATTCCTCCCTGCACCAAAGGATGGCACAACGCCATTCCGACTTCTTGATCTCGAACACAGCATTCCTCCCTGCATCAGCAACAAGTTAGTCTCTTCATCTCTCCTTCATGGTCAATGTCTGCGAAAACAGTATCTGCTTCCTTTGTTCTGGTTAGTGATTCAATCACTGCTTCTACTGTAAACCCGTTACATACATCTCCATTATCTCTTGGAAAGCATCTCCAAAGTCAGATGGGCCTTGACTGCAAAGCCTTGCGGCCCATTTATCATTACCGGGCTGGAACAGCCCGAGATCCTGGACTGGTGTACTATTATTATGTGGTATTGAATGGTATATAATGCAGATTGATCTGGAATAAGGTGAGGCAATAATATATGAAGGGACAAAATAAGAGAAGAGCCAACACCATTTATTCAATAGAGCCTTTGCAAAAGAAGATTAGGGGAATACATATTAGATATAGCTATCACGGGTCCTATGATGGGTTCCATTAATTCTCTCTCTCTCTCTCTTTCACCATCTCATTGAATGTTTTTCTTGCCCTTTCGTCTTTTCTCTGTCCCCAAAAACAGAACTGCTGTGGGGCAGCCCTACCCTTTCCTCAACTTCCCTTGCTTGCCCAAATGAACCAAATTCCCCTAACACCTTTGCCCCCCAGAATTAGCAGTTTGGTCCTTCTGGGAGGGTACCCATCCCTACTGTTTTGGGGCTGTTCTCTCTCTCTGTTCTGTTGTGGTTTTGAGGCAACAAGCCAACAACTGAACCAACCTTCTTTCTCCTTATCGGGCAGTTGGTGTCTCTGTGTGTGGTTTATATTTTACTCGAATCTGGCTAAGGCAACAGCTCACCCTTTTTTTTCTGGTGGGAGAGAAGGGAGAAAGGGGGACCATTCTAGTATTTTTACCCTTTTCACTCTTCTTCTTCTTCTTCTTCACTGTTACTCTGAAGATAGCATGTGTTTGGTACTGTAAAAACGAACCGATTCATGATGCATGCACCCGGCCACCGGCTAAATATGGCCTCTTGTTTGTTTTCCATATCGTCGGTTGGAAAAGGGAGACTGGGCTGGAGAGCTCTCCTCCACGTGGCGGATCTCCATTAGAGACAAAAAGCAAAACAGAAGAAGGTGGCGATGAGGAAGGAAAGAGGTCGAGTTTAGAATCTCACAGCAAATCATTACTTTGTTATTATCGTACTTTTCGACGATCATGATCTCTTTGATTACCGTACTTAATTAGGTTCGACTAATCAATTTCATTAGGTGGTGATAGAACATAATTAGTACTTCGCTCGTGGGGTTAACAATTGCATGGAGTGATGTGAGCTCGTCGAACTACCTGATGCTAATTATTAATGAGACATTATCTGACTCGTCACGTAGGACGAAAGAATAGGATGAAATCCTACCCAAAAAAAAAAGAATAGGATGAAATGGATTTAAAAGTTCCTTATTATGATTATGGCCTTTGAGTTCGAAATCCAGAGCCACAAGCATATAATTAGGATCTGGGATCGGATTTCAATTCGGTTCAGTTGATCATACTGTTAGCGACCAAAACGCATTAACAATCAATCCCCTTTAAAACCAAAACCAAATCATTGATGGTTTTGGTTAACCAAAATCGACAAAATCCCTCAACGGTTCGTTCGGTTTTGGTATGAAGGAACCACAAATTGAACGAATTAGCATGTTGTTTCTCTAGGTTTCGATGTTGTATTGGTTCTGTTTGAACCGAAACCAGTAAATGATGTGAATCTATCTCAAACTCTTAACACAAAATCGATACTTGGCACATTAGTGGTTTTAATTTGCTGACTGGTTTATTATTAGGGGTCGTTTGGATGGGTTAATTGTCAATGTGGTATTTGTAGAGTCAAATAACTCATTTATTATTCATGTGATATTTCAGTGTTATTTCAATGGTAATTGAAATAAAGTATATCGTTTGGTTGAACCATGCAAATGTGGTATTCGACATGTGGTATTTGGTAAAAGCAGAGTGATAAAATGAGTTATTTCGAAATAACACATGAGTATAAGTTATTTCAAATAACTCGTTTTGAGTTATTTGTAAATAACTCACTGTCCAAATAACTCATTTCAGTAAAACGTTACCAAACGAATTGAGTTATTTGGACACAAATAACTAATACAAATACTCCATCCAAACTATCTTTAATTAATTGAATAATAACTCATAAGGAAAAAGAAAGTAATGATTCATAGAGGTCAATAAATGGGTTCTGCCATACAGTTGGGGCCCACAGGGTAAAATCTGTTGTAGTAGTAGGGCAAACCGCAAAAAGTAAAATCCCTGTTCACGCGGGCCGACTCTGCGTACAAAAAAAATTTGGTTTTAGCTGTAGGCGGTAGCCTTTGCTGACGGCTACTCTCCGGCGGAGAACTCGCCGGTCCCTCTTCCCCCCTCTGTTTTTTCTTTTCAGTTTTCTTTTCCATCCTTCCAAGTCCAACGTCAAGGAAGCTTTGAATTTTGCTTTCGGCTTTATGGCTAAAAATTGGAACCGCTGCGCTAAAAACATGTAAAAACAATAATAGTCCTACGCGAGTCGACGACACAGGCCTACGACGACGACTGCTGCTGCTGCTGCAGCAGCCTCTGTTTCCCCCTCTGCTCCGCCTGCAGTAAAAGTCAGCCGTCTATTCCCTCCCGTCAAATCGATGGCTCGTGATGGAGCCACGTGGCTCTGGAGGGGATTTTTTGGCTGATGGATATGATACAGAGTACAGGGTGATCTGATGGTGGTGGTCGGACTGAGACGGGGCATACAGTGGATAATGCTGTGGTTTACTATAATGCCCCTCCCCACCGTCCCTCGGGCAAACCGAACAAGCTCAGCTCAGCTCGGGTCAGGACAGGACAGGACAGGAATTAAAGATGTTTGCTTTTTACTACAGAAATTTTACTTTCCCCTGAACTCTCTCTCTCTCTCTCTTGTTTTTACAGTTTTACGGCTGCTTTTCTGTTCTAATAGTTATCTTATCCCCGACAACCCACCAGAGAAGTTTTGCCTTAGGCACACACATAACAATGTGTGAGACTCGTCTCCTCAAAGTGTCTATATGGAGATTTTCATCGTCAACGACTGCACTTCAAAATGTCACTACATTATTTGATAGTTACAAATTCTCAAGACTCTTAAATCCAACGTCGATTACACGCGTTTGAGTTTAAACTATCAGTGATTGCATTATCGACTGATCGTGATATTTATGAAAAGGGAAATCGTATCCCTTAATTAAAAATGCATCGAATCCTGGATCGAATCACTATTACGTGCGTGTATTTGATGGGTATGCGTAGGGTATGGGATATTGGACTTAGAGGGTTACTATTATGCATGGGCTTAGGGGTATTAGTGGGTCATTAGTACAATAGGGTCGGGGTGTGGGGTTGCCGAGTTCGTCTAGGAGAAGGGTAAGGGTTGGGTCGGATATAGCTAGGTCATTAGTAGGGTTTACGGATTATATATATGTAAGTTCGTCGTTAGTTCGGGTTATCGAATAATAAAGCAAAAGTTTATCGACACCTACGTCGTTCTCCCGCTTGTGAGTTAAAAGCAAACCCTTGAAGCGGGGGTTACGTTTCCATCAGTGTTCCGTTAATGTGTAAAGAAAGGGGCACATCGATGTCATCTATCTACCTTGGTGATTAGCGACTATGACTATTATTTTTATTTTCATTTTCTTTTCTCAAACGATGGAGGACATCGACCCGTACGCGAGAACATCTATTCTTGATATTGTGATTTCATAAATATGCATAAACTTGGTTTAGGTGAACTCTCTAGTGCTATGTCTAGCAAAGAAGCTCCTTTTCCCCATTTTCTCCGCCGTCTAACAATGCATTTATATTTGAAGTCTGAACCTAAAATCAAGGCCATGGTTCTACTTCCCATTTCCATAAACAACAATGTCAAGACTACTGTGATTGTAAATTCCTCTTTTTACCGAGGCGCACAGAAAAGGATGGTGATTGGTGATGGGTTGAAACTCGAAAGGGATAGTCCGGGTGAAAATGAAATTCACCCATCCACCCAAATCCAATTGCCCAAACCCAACTGTTGTCGTCTCTTCTTGTCTCTCTTTGAGAAATGAGAACTTGGAGAAGGGGATGTTGCAGGAGAAGCTGCAATGATCGGACGGCTGGGGAGGTCTCTACCCACTCTCTCTGAACCATCTGATCAACAAAACCCTAGTGGGACCCGCCAAAGGTTCAGTTCAGAAACCCTTTCAGAACAAAAATGTTTGTTTTCTCTCTCTTTATATAATATATAGTTTCCTTGTTTATGTAGCCATTACAACAACAGTGGGTTAACTATGCAATGCCATTTTCAACCATGTGAATGATCCATCTCTTCCTCGACTATGTAGCAAGGTTGATGCCAGGATTGAATCCGTCACTCATTTGTTATTTGCGCGAAGCAGGGTGAAGGATATTGATTCATCACTCGTTGTTTCAATATTTTGACATATAGGGTAACCAAATATTCTAATGTGGGGATTTTCTTGCAGCAAACTGAAACACATGCCGAATCTTCTCCTTTTATTCGATACTGCACACACTCTAGTTGTTCGTTCGTTGATGGTTGCTTTGTCTCATCAGACATTCATTCTCATATATAAGCTCGAAATACAAAACTATTTTCGATGACTTCTTTTCACATGGGATACAATAAATGTGCCTTGCTAAAAGGGTAAAAGGGCTAGAAGTTTGGTACCCGTATTTGTGATATGTTGTATATCTTACCGAATTTATCACTATTTGAAAATTTTTCGAGTTCTTATTTAGGACTTGATATTGAATTTGGGGTGTTATTTGATATTTATGATTATGAGATTGATATATATATATATATACCAAAATAGTGAGAAATACCAAAAATTTATAATTAATTAAATATAATCTACAACTTCTAGTCATTGTTCACATTTTGACAACTTGCAAGCCCCCATCCAGTTCAAACTTAGCTTCCAAGTTTTTCTAGCTCACTGTCATCTCCCATTCAATTTATTGTTATTTTCATACCGTCAAAAACATACTCATTAGTCGTAGTCTCAATTGGGCACCTTTGATAAATCCCTTCGTTCGAGACTTTTGATTGACGGGTCGTTTGAATGAGGTAATTCGATGAGGTATTTCAACCGAAATAACTCATTTGGCATAAATAAAATGTTATGTGGTATTTTGTCCATAAGGTAATTGAATTGCGAGTTATTTGATATACCTACTCTACCCCTAATTATGTCAAATAACTCGTCTCTCAACCTCTTTTTTCACTCCATCCCTTCTCTAAGTGGTGAAATAATACAATTCTTGAATGTTTTATCCAAACAAGACAATTGACCAAATT